GCACAAACAACATTTTCCAAAAGACCAAAAAGTGAAAAGTTTATTTTAACAAAACGCATTTGACTAACAGGTCGAACAACTGATGTTCTTTAACCCTGCTGACTGCCAAATAAATTGATCACCAGATGAAACATGGATCTTAATTAAAAATTTAATACCAAACAGAAAACAATAAACTTGCGGAAAAGAAGGTATATCGCAAACATAAGGTGCAAAAATTTGTACACCATATCCGGATTTCGACAATTAATGTCTCTTCAGTGATGTTAGGGATCGAAACGGTATTTGGAAGGCCATATAATTTACCTTGATTTAGGATAGACTCTTGAATTTTAAAGAGTCGAAATAGGATGAACGGATCACATAAACCCGAAGGAAAATATAATACAAGACCAAACGAAAAAATATTAACAAGTCTAAATTGAAAACAACGTTCAAACCTATGATTGCGTTGGATAAAAACCGCAATATATAGACAGAACAGCCATTCAACAAACGCACGAATGGTCATCGAAGTGACTACAACTGCAAGCCCGACCTCCCGGCCAGTTAGTCGTCATTTGAGATCACCTGGGTACGCCCAAGCTGATCTCAAAAACCTTACCATCACTTTCAAAGACCACAACGAGGGTTGGTCAAGGGCCGACAGACTTGCTCGGGAAAGTTTTTGGACAAGAAAGTTAAGGACAGTTTTCCCAGAGGGCATATTAGTCAGCATTTCAGCAATCGGGTCAAAAACTTGATGACTTTAACCGCATGAAAATCCTAGTGATTGAACAGAACATTCACTGGAGTGATGCCCAGCGACAGGTTCGGGAAAGCTTTTGGATAAAGGAACTAAATGTACACCATCCAAACGGCATCAATAAGAAATACTAGTTTTATTTTCACTCAATTTTGGATGTATATATACACAGTCACGTCTATTAAGTATCGAGTTATGTTTTTGCTTCGCATCACGGTGCGGAGCTATTAGTTTCAGTCGATATTAACGCCATCTTAAAATAATTACTTGTCACATATAGATTCTGATTGGTTGCTTTATGATGCGGCTGAGATACAGCAACAGCTATTGGCTTAAATGAGATAAAGAATAACAGACTTTTCTCGTCTCAGGATAAGACATCAATTACCGGAAAATAAACTATGTGTATTTCAGTTCCGATCAACTGTCATTGTAAATGTTTTAATTTTCAACAAGTTTACTGAACAAAATTTTAAAAGCATGGATGTATACACACAACACTGAACAGCCAATTTAAAATTTCAGAAAAGTTCATCTTACTATATATATATACAAAAATTGATATTCCAAGTCTGAGACATCCATTTTACATCAACCAATATCTAAAAATACCACATTTCCAATACTAAATTAACAACCATTTGCACACATATTACCTTAGGAAAGAGCGAAGCAGTCCTCAGCTTTTTAGAAAGCTCAAACTTGTATATTATGATGTTCATCTTGAACATCATAATATACAAGTTTGAGCTTTCTCAATTAAATTATGGGATTAAATCAATAGACAAAAACTTACCTGTATTATTGAGCTATTTTTAACATACATTTAGTATTGTTAAATTTATTGACACTGACGAAGGATATTTGTTAAGCCGAAATATTTGTCAACACGATTTTATAACATCATCTTCGTATATTACCATCTTATATTAGTACCGTTGTGCAAATCTTTAGACTTATATAAACACATATTATATTCATAGTTACTCTAAATATCTAAATAAACAATATTAAATCTGCAAATTTGCGGAAGCAAAATTTTGTTCTTCCCTCGCCGGGATTCGAACTCATGCTATTGAGAAATCGAGACAACACCGCTTGCACTGTGCCCAGCACTCTAGACCACTTAGACTGAACAAAATTCAGCTTTCGGTGGCTTAGTGTTACCTGTCCTCGTCAGTAGAATCTAGAGTTGTAACCCAATACATGATATATTAGGCATGAAGATGGAATTGATTGCAGATTAGCTAAATTAACTATCGTAAAGGATCGTAAGATGCAGTCGCAGAAATAATTATTTGATAAGTACGTCTAAACAAGTGACAACTCTACGACAGATCCATCCATTGGATCACCAGTGAAGGTGATACACGACTGAAAACACATATTATATTCATAATTACTCTAAATATCAGCACAACAATGTTAAATCATATCTATAAAGAATCAATTGTTTAATAACGCTTATGTATGAAAAGTGGGGGTTGTGGTGCAAACTCCTTAAAGTGACTAGCATTTAATTTTCTTTTCAATAAATTTGGTGCAAAATAGTGTTGGGGTAGCAGAGGTATTTGTCTCTGAAAAAATGCCTATATACTAGTATAAAGGTAATTTTTTTCAGAGACAAGTGCCTGTGTGGTGAGGCCAAATTATAGTCCTACGCCCACGAAGAACTTAATATAGCGGGGTTCTAGTTTGAACGGTATCTTAAAGCAGCCTTCTGTATTGTCTAAAACGGGTCTTCAACCATCTTTGTTATTTGATAAACAGCTTCGAATTATATTCTTACAACAAAACCTAAATAAGTCTATGTCAATTTACTAACCTATCTACGGTCATAGAGCATCTCTTTTTTTTTGATAGACCTTCATCATAAACCCTTACAAACAAGAGTTTGGAAAGCCAAAAATACACATATGAGCTATATTACGAAAAAGTTACTTCAATCATGGAAGTAATATTTAAATATTACTTCCATGCTTGAATAGTCAAACCCGTTTAGATTAACTTTGCACGAGAGGGTTGCAAACTTTATAAATCTCTTCATCACCTTTCTCCTATTTATATTTTTAAAAAATGAAATGATAGTTTAGCAAACTAAGGGACTTATCATTTTTTATCTGGGAGGGGGGCTGGTCAAAATGCAGGGGGATAAAGTTTTTTTCTGTATGTGGAAAAGGGGGGTTCAATTTTTTTATAAATTCAAAGTGGGGGGATCAATATTTTTTGCACATGGAAATTAGTAGTTCATATACTTCAAGAGACAAAATATCAAGAAGAGCATTATAAAACAGTCAAATCGAAAATATATCTTTAACACCATTCATATACAATTAAGCAAGACATCACAAGACTTTGGTGATGTAGGAAGCTGCCATTTTGTGTCATTTTGTCCCATATAAAATGCATAGGTGCTTCATAATCCGAATTATTCAGTCGTTATATTTCACTCACTTCGATCACTAAATTGACAAGCATTACTGCCAAGTTTTGTTATAATCAGCTTAATAGTTTGAAAATTAAGTATAAATTAAAACGAAATCTGAATGCAGCGATTTGTGCAAAATTTTGTCCAAAAATACAAATCACGCCGCATCATGAAAGAATATAGTGTAGAGCAATATCTTCTCCAATAAATGATTAAATATTGCATACAAACAGTTGAATATTGATACAAAAGATGATTCTGAGATGATGAACAACCCTTATGTATCTTTTTGTTTTCATTACAAGATCCCTTTGACTCCATTTATACATGTACCTCACACTCCCTCAAAATTTGTACTTTTTAGGCTAATAAATCTAAATTTTGAGGTTACTATCACACATTTATGAATGAAATGTGACAATAAATGAGTAATTGAATTGTTCAAGCTGAAATGAACTATCCATATAAAAGTTTAGCGACTCAATGGAGGTTTCAATAAGGCCTTAAGTTTAAGCAGCGTTCAAGAGATGGACATATAATAGACCCCTCTTAGTAAATAATGTGTTGTTACTGTTTCGAAAAGTTAACTTTTTAATGTAAATTTTTACAGTTACTTAGGATCAAGCTTTCTTTAATAGCCCAATATAGGAAATTAGAAAAAAGTCAGAATAAGCTACTCAAAGCACTGGCTTGCTCAACTTCTAATATTCATGGAAGAGCCCTTTTTCAAGGCAATTTTCCCTCAAATATGTTTTTGGACTCAATCCACTGAGAACATTTCATTTTCAATATGTTCGTGAAATAAAATGATAAGTGTTTTGCATGTTAAAATTTTGGCATGTTTAATAGAGGAGGGATCACATTTTTTAAATGTTTTCACAGGGGGGGGGGGGGGTTCAAATAAAAATAGTGAAATATTATGGGGGGATCAAGAAATTTTGTATTTTTGATTTCAAAATGACCAGCCCCCCCCCCCCCCCCCCCCCCCCCCCCCCCCCCCCCCTAACAATATTATTGCTTATGTCTATACAGATTACCTAATTATAAACGCCAGAAGAAAGCACAAAACCGTTATTCTTCCAAAAAATATAGAAGTTGTTAACCTAACCCAAAATTATGTTGGACTTACAGTAACCCGAATAATTCAGTCCCTCCCCGTGATCGACTCTCCCACTCGTTAATGTAGCCATCGTAGAGCAGTGGAATATAACGACTGAATTATTCGGGTTAGACTTACAGCCGATTTCATTGAGTGTGTAGGAATAGGTAAACTACCCTCCTTTATGAGTAGACTAGTCCGACAGACAGATATAATTGGTTATCTGTGGGACTAGTCTACTCATAAAGGAGGGTAGTTTACCTAACCTAATAATGACTTCACGCTTCAGCTAGCAAGCAAACCAAAGATAATACCTATTCCTACACACTCAATGAAATCGGCTGTAAAGCACATGTAAAATTAACAATTTTGCATTAAAATGCCTTCAACAGCAACATGTAGCGCTGAGTAGCATTTTGATATTATGGAAATATGTAAAATTATTGAAAACATACCTAAATTATTTACTATTGACACTTAAATATTCAAGTTCCAGAGGATTGGAATACAGATAGACATTGACCCTGTGAGAGAAACAAATACAGGTTAAATTAGCCCTAATTCTTTAATAGATATTTTATGAAAAATTTTGTTAGGTCAGTTTGTATGAAGGAAGTCAAATTATTCAACGGTTTCGCATTTCATTCTTTCACATTTGAATTTGAGTACTGCAATTTTTAGTTTTTGTGCCGGATTCTTGCGTCTAAACGAAAGGCAGAAATGATTACCTGGAATCGAACTATATCAACAGCTTCTTTATCTTGTTAATTCCAGTTACCAATCCAAGGCTTACTAATTTTCTTTGTCCTCTTGTACCCATAAACATATCCGTACTTGACCTTTTTACTTCCTTTAACGTGAAGCAGTTTAAATGTTTTATCTATCTATGACATGCGATACTAGTAAACAGTATAGTGTTCAGTCGAAATTTTTGTTTTTAAAAAATAGCGACTAATGTGAAACTGAAGCCTTAATTAAATGTTTGTTAACAAATAATGTATGATTGATTGAGTACAGCCTGATCATGTCTTTGAGTTAGATTTTAGGCATATTCCATCTTCTATCCTTACGCTACCCCTTTCGCCTCAGACACTTCAAGGATCGCCATACCTCCTCGCTCAAATTATGATTATTTCAAAGCAAATATAATAGGTGAAAATTCAGGTTTAACAAACTGAGCAAACTACTTTTATCTATCATCAATGTTAAGAAAATATTTTTGACATCGGTCAAATTGGTCAACTTGGTGTGAACTTTTTACTGATGATATGATGATACAAACAGAAAAAAAACAGAACTATTGAACGTGGGTAGGTGATTTGTTTGTCATTTTGTTTAGACTTTAGAGTTTGTTTTACCCCTTGATTGTTTTATTGTGTGTTTGGTGTTGAACGCCACGACCTTGGATATATCATGGCGACCAGTTTTTATTGGCGGAGAATTGAACATTGTAACATTACATTTACCGTCAATTATTCATTTTCAACAATATATTTTATTGCTCGTATATTAATCTTTTGAGATCAAACTCCCGAAATGCTTCTTCATTTTGCAATTGCATGAACCTGAAGATGTATACAAAGATTTCACAAATTGATTATATATAATGAAAGAAGTATATAGAACCATACACAAAAGGAAAAGGACAACATATGTAAAACCCATGCATTTTTATTTAACAATATTTTAACATTAATTTTTGATTATTTTTTTTTAATATTGCATTTTAAAAATCTATCAATCTAATTAAAATTAAATCTCCGCACTCGCTCATTTTTTTATGCTTGGTCGCTGCGGCCCACGCAGCGCGGACCAAGCATAAAAAATGAGCGAGTGCGGAGATTTAGTTTTAACTAGATTAAAAGTCTATCTCCCCAACAATTCTATATTTTTTATTCAGGCCTTATTTTTTTTTTATTCAAAAAATACTGAATGTAAGTTTTCAATCTAATTAAAATATAGATCTCTGATTTCGTTATACTCTGATTTCGTTATACTACATATGTAGTATAACGAAATCAGAGATCTATATTTTAATTAGATTGGCAAGTTTCATAATGCCATGTGTTCGTTAATGTAAGATTTTTGAGAAAAATACAATATTTGGTGTAGTGTTGTGAAATTATGCGGCTACATCTATTAAAAAGAAACGAAACTGAGTAAAATTTTATATTGTAAAACATACACAACCAGTGCTAATGAGTAGTAACGATGCACGTAGTAAATGTGGTATGGCTTCAATTTTTATTTACAAGCATTTATGACCCAAGCTTTGACCCAAGCTAAGTACGGCATTATTCTTTTGATGAATACATAAACAACTATTATGTGCATATCATTGAAATACAATAATCAATTATAATGATAACGATTTCCTTGAAAATCACACTAGTTAGTACTTTATTCAGATTTAGAACATAGTAAAGTGCTTTCGACCAATGAAATGCAAGATTTTTCACCCTCTTAATGGTGAAGAATGACACAAAACATGTTCTTAGTAGCTAATTACCTTATTGTTCTGTAAAACATACAAAGGGCCATTTACTGTAGCAAAATATTGCCTTGGGACATTTAGTCAGGAAAGTGTGTTGAAAGAAGATTGTATAGCCCCTGGCATTTTGAATAGACATTAATTATTAGTATAAATAGTAACAATGATGAATAAATTTTTAATACACAAAGTAGTTCAAATTTCCAAACAATATCTTTTTCCATTTTTGATAATTACAACTTTGTTAATACAATTTGGCACATTTATTGTCATTGTATTGTCATCATTTTCTTTGCTTTCGCTTTCATTTCGATTATTGTTGGGAACGGACAAGTCATTTTCCTTCTTTATATATCTATTGATGGCAGCTGTAATACCTTGTTAACGTTCTCTTGTAATGCTTCCAACGGACGCTTATACGTATCAAGGGCCGACGATCGGTGACCTCTCCTTGACTTTACAGTGGAATCAGTAAAACCTGCATTGAATAGTGTAGTGCAACATGTAACTTTTCCAGAATGATTGGATATATTGCGAGCGGTCATGGAAATCCGGGCAGCCTTGAATAATTCCTTCATTTTACTAGATAAAGTGTTTATTCCTATATGCTGTACACTGAATCGGATGGAACCATTTGAAGCTTGATGGGGTAGTGGCTTGCGGTAAAACCTACCCTCATGTGGAATTAGGGACAAATACTTTTCAAAATTTTTTACTTAGCATCTAGGGTTTGATGGATCACTTTTCTGAGTATTGTGTTTCACATCAATATTTCTGTTTTTGAATCCACCTTGTACAATCTTGCACAGTCTCCCGGTATAATGTAGTAACTTATTACCATTCGTATCAACCGAAATATGATACTGACTAGCGTCAAGTTCTTTGTGCTCATCGAGTGCACGAAATCCAAAGAGCTTACAGTTATAGAAAAAAAACAATGTTTGTAAGGCCAGTTGCCGTTTCACAATCGAAAACCCCACTATCCCACATGGTTTCCTCGTCCGATGTCAATATAGGGTCTGCTGTATTAACATTGGTGCCAATACCATTATTAGTCGGTTCCTTCATCCTACTGTCTAGACATTTTCTAAAAAACGAAAATGGAACGGATTCTTTTTGAAAAAAGTTTGTCATTTCTGTTACAGTCTGTTCTCAGATACCTACAAAAAAAATGCAGATTTTTACTTCTTCCAGCTATATAATACATCGTAGGAATTATTAAGACGTTGTTCTATTAGAATATGTCCTTTGGTTTTAATTAAATGATTTTTAAGAAGAAAAAGAAGAGCAACCTTTGTATGGTAATAGTTTGCCTTTCCAAAGTTGGTCAGATAAGATTATAATATAACGACGACGACGACGACGACGACGACGACGACGACGACGACGACGACGACGACGACGACGACGACGACGACGACGATGATGACGATGACGATGACGATGACGATGATGATGATGATGATGATGATGATGATGATGATGATGATGATGTCCAACGGCAAATTAATATGCATATTCAGGACGAGAACATGTTTGACTCATTGAAGACACTTTATGTTGTAAAAATGTATGTCTTTTGTTTCTTGTATTGTTTGGTTACTGTCACACTGACAAATACATCATATCTCATTTATTTATTGAAAAACAGTAAAATTAATATAAAAAAGAGAAGGTTAAGACCAATTAATAAAGAAAATAACAAATTTGGGTTAAATTAATTTTAGAATATTTTTTTAAATATCCTAAATATGCACTTCATTAAATATAAAAATCAGCAGCCCAAGGCTAAAACATAATGAAAAGGGTTTTATCTATATAAAAAAAAAGGAATTAGATGCATCTCAACAGTTGCGCCCCCCCTCCCCACCCACCATCGAAATTTTAAAATGTTATCATACCTTTGAATGCCTGATGCAATCTGGACCAATAAATTGGGCGGAAAAGGACTGCTATCCATGCGTCGACATTCTTGTATAAAGTGTGCCATCCAATAATTTAAAAGTTCGTTTGAAAGGCAGTTCGGATCACTGGGTATTGAAGCACCACCGTCAGCAAATGTCTCTTTACACAAATTCCTTTCTAAAGTCCAAGCAATCCAGATTCCTAAAGCCCACTTTTTGTTATTTTTAGTTTTCTTAGGATAGCTTGAAGAATTTTTTCTTGTAAACCCGAATCTGACATTGGAGCCGAAAATCTGCGGGTGGCAGCAGCCTCACACACGACAGGCTCGGTTTCACATTTCACTAAGTCCTGGGTAGGTAAAAGCATAAGATCTAACTCGGACACCTCTTCATGCAATTCAAAATTACCAATTCCAACATCTTTATCTGTTAGAAGGTTTGAGAGATGAATTACAGAATAAAATACAAACTTTTTACAGTAGAGAAAAAGAACTCACTAGTCAATCGTGCAAGGCGGTTACAATATAGCTAGAGGGGTCATTTGTTATACCTTTATTTTTGAAAACTATATTCATTCAGACCATTTAAAGGACATATTATTGATCATGAATAGAGTCTATATGTTCTAAGTTTGTAAGAGAATGATAATCCCTGTCTTCATGATGAGTACTCGCTAACGCTCGTACTTAATCATGAAGACAGGGATTATCATTCTCTTACATATACTTAAAATATTAAATTGTCATGAAATACCAGAGACATATATACACATATATATATTGTGACTTTTTGTCCTATCCAATTTGTGACTTTTTGTACTGTGACTTTCTGTCCGTTTACCCTATTCATAGTATAGCCCAGTGTTTCTGTTAAAATAAAGTTCTGGTCATGGTTAAAATAATGTCAGAATTTGTTTAGTTGTAAAAACAATTACAAAGTAATAATCCACTTAGAAATTCACCTCCGGCAAAATTCAGGTGATCGGAGGGCAATAAATTGCGTAATCGCACACCTGTGAATCCACAGTCATATCCTGGTTCCCGGTACTACGTTCCAGGTATTAGCTGATAGTTATATTGGTATATGTGTAACATACTGAATATTGCGATCGGGAACCAGTCTACCACAGTCACAACTCTAAGGAAATAATGACCGGAAAATCGGACAAACATAATTTCACTGTGTAATTTAGAAGCAAACTTTAGCAAAGAAATGTTTCTTGTAATATCATGATCATAACCAGATTTTACTTTTTAAATTAAAAGAAATGCCGAAAAAAAGGAAAAAATATTTTCTTAATCAAATACATTAAAAAAATACAACTATTTCAAGTAGTTTTTTAGAAAAAGAATTTATTTGATCTGAAATAAGTTTTCCTATTACTTTTCTTGATTAGCTATCGAGGTTATTCATCCCTGACTTGTCTACATGTTGTAGAATAATTATCGACGAGAATCTCATTCCGGGCCGCGATTTTTAACGGGATTTCACGGAGTTGCCAATCTCTGTGTATATATGTCTCTGTCTCTGGTCTCTGGAAATACTTACCTTATATCATTCCCAATATATCTTTCTTCCCAAATAATAAACCATAGAATTTTTTTTAGATAACTATTTCTATACATTTTATATAAATACAGCATTAAAAATTAAAATAATAAGGCTATTTAAATGGTTAATATTGTTTAATACTGTTCTTGAAAAAGTTGGAACGAACTGACCAAGCAACTTGGGACGAATCGGAGTTGGAACGAATTATCCAGATACCCGAATGATCTCCCTTTGACGGGTTACAGTAATGACTGGACCAAAAAGAAAATGCTAATAACTTTTTTATTTCTTAAAAATTTTGTCAAATTTGAATTGCTATAAATTTAGTCCATTTAATACATAAATATAAGAAAAAATATAGAAAACTTTTAAATCTTCATAAAACGTTACCTGACCAACGCTGACAATGACAGGACCAAATGAAAATGCTCATTACTTTTTTATTTCTTAAAAGATGTATGTTAAATTTGAAATATAATAAAACTTGATCATTTGATATATAACTATATGAAAAAATATAGAAAAAAATATTAAAAAATTCCGAAATATTCCGAAAACGTGACCCTTCTAACGTTGACAATGACCTGACCAACAACAGCAATGACCTAACCGATGAAAATTTCTGTGATATTTTATATCATTAAAAAAAAGGGGGAAAATATATGTTTTTGGGTAAAAAAAACTTGACCTGACCAACGTTGACTGTGTCCTGATCGTTGTACTACCTAATACTTATAAATATCTGATAGGATTTGCTTAAAATTTATATAAAAAAACCCATTAAGATTGAATGGTAGAGTCTTTATCAAATAATAAAAAAACCTGGGAAAAACAGTATAGGGTACTGTGACGGGCACCAGGTTATTTAAACTTTTTATGGTATTGAGTAGTATATTGTATTTTACCGTGTTGTAAATTATGTTGTATATTACCGGTTATAATTTGACACGTTTGATCACAAATATAAAGTAACACACAAAAGGTGTGAAGTAGGCCAAAAATACATGTAAGTTGATAAATCCAATATAATTGTTTTTTAATATTTTCATAACAGTTAATAATTATTTCCACGTACAACTTAAGGCATGCCCGAGCCTTGTGTAGGATATCTTGGTAGTTTTAAATATTTTCATAAAAAAAATAAACATTTCGCGGACTACTTGAGGGAAGCCCGAGCCCCTGCATGCACGATATCTTGGTAGTTTAAAATATTTTAATAAAATATAAGTAAACATATTCAACGACTTAACTTGGGGTATGCCAAATGTTCTCGAAAGTCTATACATTTATCGTTTGCTAATATGTTTGAAAAGCATTTTATATTTTCTTATTTGATAAAATTAATGGTTCAATCTAAGTATTTCTATAAATTTGATGCAAAGCCTATTACATATAAATAGATATAAAGCCATTTTTCCTGGTCATGATAACGGTCAGAATATAGGACAGAAAGTCAGACAAAAAGTCAAGGACAAAAAGTCACATGTATTATATGTTATATAATTATAAACATTGAGTCCTGTTTCAAAGTAAAATCTATTTTTTTTTTGTTAAAAGAAAGACAATATACTAATTTTGGGAAACATCTTTCTGTAATGGGCTTTCAGCATGTTCAGTGAAAATCAAATAATATGTACATGTATATAATTCTTTTAAAGTTACCCTTTCACGGTAAAGAGTTGTCATAATTTATGGTCAATATTTTTTAATTTGCTGCTAAAAATCCATAAAGATAATTGTTATTTTCTCAAATTTCAATAATCCAATGCCTAATACTAATGTTAAGATAGTGCTACCATAGGCGGATCCATGGGCCCTGAGGACCCGTCCCCTCCTTATTTATTGGAAATATTTGGTTGATTACATATGGAATCACTGAAGCATAAATGTAGCGGGCCATCACTTTAGGCAGTCAGTGGGACCCCTTATATGAAAATTGTCCAGATGGTATATTCCCCCCCCCCCCCCCACTGCTCGTTTTAAGACCCGCAGCCACCATCCGACAGATTTTTCCGCGGGTCCTCGTAGGGAAACGAATCTTTATGGAAAATCTCAAATTCCTCCCCGGTCAGAACAAGAAATGTGTCGGATGGATAGCAGGGACCATCGGGTCAACGGCCGAAGTACCCGCCCTTGTTGGTTACGCCCTTTGTTTGCTAAAGAACCCTTGTGTTAATTCTTTTAGGGGCACCCAAGTTGACCTATTGAAATTTCTGTCCTTGTCCAATTGATCCCGATTTACAGTGATATTTCAAATTATCCGCCTTCATCCCAGCCTACCCATATTGCCGGACCTTTTTGAAATTGTCTTTTTTTTCAACATCACCTCAAAAATGATTTTCATGTAGACACTCATCATCCAATAATATTCAAAACGTGTAGTTGGTGGGGTTCGTGTTACTTAGTCTTTAGTTTTCTATGTTGTGTCATCTGTACTATTATTTGTTTGTTTGTCTTTTTATTTTTGGCCACGACGTTGTCAGTTTGTTTTCGATCTATGAGTTTGACTGTCCCTCTGGTATCTTGAGTCCCTCTTTTATACATGCTTTGCCATTTCAACATTGAGTTTAATAATGAATAAGAAAAATAAAATTTCCTTTATAGAAAGAAAGGTTAGATGGTCAATTATCATTTACTTAGAGGACCAACGTCTGACTCTTTTTGTTCTATTTTATATTGTGTTGAAGTGTATCAAATTATTGCCTTTAATTAATTTTGGGTCAGTAGACTAGCACTGGACCAACAATGTTCCTATTAAATTTATTGATTTTGTTCTCTTTTGAAATATGCATGAGATATTTGACACTGGACACATAGCAAACCATAACTAATCGATCATTTCATTTTTACAAAATCTTAACCCCCCCCCCCCCCCCCAACGATATTGATTATTTTCATTTGTGATAAGTATTTATTTCAGTGCCTCACACAAACAATTTTAAGCTTGGCCTTTCTTGAACTGTCAATGTTCTGATTGTATCTTCTTAATCTTATGTATAAATAGTTAGGAGCTAGTAGCTAAAATTCCAAACTGTCAACACCAAGTGGCACTTTGATCTTTAATCTTCACTACAGCATTTGCATACTAGTTGATGGACTGACTTGTAAAAGCCATCATTCTTTGACACTGCATTGAATTGAAAACTTACAGAAGAGAGTTTTTTTTTGTATGAGAGATTTAGTCTATTTTCAAGCGTTTTCCAAGTTTATGCATATACATGTAATTCGTTGTTTCTATGGCAACACTATCACTAATAATGCCTGGAATATTATTAATATTTCTCAAATACAAGAAAACCTGCTTATGTAAGCAAAACTGTATACATTCATTGTTATATGTATCGAAGTTCATTAAAACGCATTTGTAAAAATTAGTACATATCCGTATTTTTGCAAATGAACTACTTGTTTCCATGGCAACACATTCAATGGCAAATATTGTACAATTGAATATGTAATTTTTTAAATGATTTTATTTGTTTTTTTCTAGATTGAGTAATTGTTTTTCTTGTATATTTTTCATGATTATGAAAACAGACTGAAATTTCTTTATAATCAGCACTTTTATCCAGAATAGAGAAATTGTGTTTGTTTCCTTCAAGTGGTAACACCATTAACGAAATCTATACTAGCAAAATCATTTATATATATACACATGTGTGTATACAGTGAAACTTAATAAGTGTTTTAGTTTTCCTACTTTTGTGCACATTTAAGAAACTAACTGAAACTTTTTTCAAAATTTGTGTATCAAAATGAAATTGTTTCCATAGCAAAACTAAGCATTTTGTATCCATGGTAACAAAATATTGAGACATACTTCCCCATTACTTTTTAGCATCATTGATAAGATAAGACAATGATATTTATGAATTCATAGTTGACTTTAACTCAGGTTTCTGCAAACAATAATGGTGAGCATTCAAAAATGACCTCAAAAGGGTATTTTTTACCTAATGCAAACCACATAAAAAGGGGGGTATATGTGATTATGATTGAAATGGAATATGAAAATATCAGGTATTAAATTACATTAATAAAATGCATATATTTAATAAAATCATAAAACAATATTCATTCTCTTAATTATTTATTATGAAAAATTATGTTGAAAATAGCCTTTTTCAGCTTAAAATCATAAGCTTAAAATCATAGATATTCAGAAGAGGTAAAACTGGTCATCGGTTGCTATGGCAACCGATATGCTTAGCAACCCAAATTTTGCCATTTTTTGTTTGTTTCATCAAGACTAGTAAGTGTGTGAAGTTTGAGGAAAATCCATGACCATGCGTGCCACACTCCCTATATAAGAGTTTAAATTGTTACAGAGAACCAGTATTAAATATATTCCAGTATCATAACCATGATTTTTCACTCATAAATTTTTGATATTTTTATCTTGCATAATCTTTACATTTCAAACGATTTGATCAACATAATTTTACTGTACTATACATGACAGCTTGGCCTAAGGAACCTAGTCCACTCATGTATTATCCCATAAAAGAGAGGCGAAATGGATATTCAAACTTATAAGTCGAAAACAAACTGACAATGCCATGGCAAAAATTAAATAACGAAAAACGATCAAAAGACAAATAACAGTATAGAAAACTCAACATAGAAAACTATAGACTGAGCAACACGAACCCCAACAAAAACCATAAAGTAGAATGTATTCTTAACTGATTTCGTCATCACTATAATTGTGCGAGAATGTAATGTTATGGAAAAAAATATAACGTATGTTCATGTCTCTCTAGTGTCCATTTATTCTTCTTCTATAGCCACGTGAGCAATAAAGGCTAGATGCGAGTATACGGTTTATAAAATATAAAACCGACAACTGTATAAAGTTAATATTAAGTGCATATAGACATGTAGAGAACACATTGCAGTTTTATGACCATTTTATACTTAAATCGATACTTAAATCCTCATCTTAAGACTTTGTTGGCATTAATTTTATTATCCCCGGATAAATTTCACACAAAACGCGGAAAACTTGAAAAATACTTAATAATATAAGAATTGAAGAAGAAAAAAACACACTATTGTAAAGTATGGAAAAAGTCTTTGCTGTTTTAATCTTAGTAAGCGGAGCTTCAACCATAATTTCCTCTAAAGGTGTTAAAGGTAAGTTTTTTAATCACTTCGTCCATTGTTATTCTACTTACCAATAAACCGTTTTTTCGCAACGTAAAGATCCCCTTTGCCTCCTCCACGTATGTTATTGTTGTCGAAATTCTGAATAAGTTTAAATTTTAAATTGTTTACACTTTTACTTTTAGATCTCGGTGACTCCATATTAAAAGAGAGACATATATACACATGTCTCTGATTAAAGTCAAAATTATACACGTCAGGTAAGGAAGTATATGAAGGAGTGTGGGTTCCTTCGTGGGAAATTTATCGGAAATACATTGGTCATAAAGCGATATTTCGTACAAGTTATTCAAAGTATTTTAAAGAACAAAATAACACACTCAAACACCAGAAAAAAGCAACTGTTTGGTCGTATGTTTTACTTGTTTTCTCTTTTTTTCGCCAAGAATTCCAGTTATATTCATGTCCATTTGGAAAGCCGGAAGAAATTGTCGATGGGAAGTGTTCTTACAACAAAAACAAGTTACCTGCAGATGAAACAGATCTACTTGCACCGCCAATACATGCGTTTGTCAAAGTTGGAGATGAATGTTTTGACTGGACCCAGGATGATCTTGTGGTTAGTATAGGAACATTAATGGACCATTCTGTCAATACACCATACATTAATTCCACATGCTGTACTGAAAAAATATATTGTGGCATTATTATGAAAATATGACACTGCCCATTATACGGTAAATTGGCCTTTTTCTTACAGTTTTTACCTACTAGAAGAGGCGGATTTAGGGGGGCAAGGGGGCCGCTCCGCCCCCTTATAAACTACATATATGGTTAATGCATAGACCTTTTACATGTCGCACTTTGGGCCCCCTTTTTGGAAAGGGGGGGGGGGGGGTTCTACAAATAAGACAAAACATTGGACGAGAAAAATGTTAATCAATCAACAATGTGCGATAAATCGTGAAACACAAAACAAGTATTTCTGTTTCGGGTCTTGTAGACCCGTATAAGGGAGTTTGTTTTTAACTAGAAACTTCCTTGCGCAAGCACAGGTATACAGGCCTTTTAAATTGATGGTAATACATACAGCAGAGTCATTTTTATATTTCTTAAATTCTTTAAAAAGGATTTTACCATTGAATAAAATACTATTCTTGTGATTCAAACAACCACCATTTGATATATGCTTATGAATGCAATGAATAATATACGACTGAACTTTGTAAAAACAACATGGTTATTAAATATGGGATCGAAAGATAGCCCTATGTTAGAAGAAATATAATTTATTTAATAAATCGATCGATATCATGGCTTTTATGACTGATTATTTATAATCTTCCGCCATTTTATGTCTGGAAAAAGGGAGACGACACTATAATTCTAACATTAGAAGTGTATCGGAATATTGAAGAATCCCGAATTTGCTAATGCATGCTATTTGTGTTCTTGTTGCTCATATTTAGTTTTCTGTGTTGTGTTTTGTACACTGTTGTTTGTCTTTTGGTCTTTTACTTTTTTGTAAAATGCCATGTCGTTGTCAGTTTATTTTCGACTTGTGAGTTTGAATGTCCCTTTGGTATCTTTTGCCTCTCTTCTATTGTAACTAGTTATTGATAACACGCAATGGAAGTGATTGGAAGATGAACTCACAGGCACTAGACGTTTTATCAATACTAATAAAATATGGGCAATGGAAAGAAAAAAATAGTGTCAATGTATATAAAAAAGGGCTGGGACACTATTTTCTTCCAATGGTCTATATTTTATATTATTAATAGAACATCTAGTGCCTGAGGTGAGCTATACACATCTGGATACGTCTTTGGTATATACAAATAAAACATGACGTGACTTCAAATAATTCAAGACACTCTACAGTTGGGAGAATTTGGCTTTCAGATGTGCAAACAGAATACACTTGCAACTAAAACAAGAAGAAAGTGTAGATATGCTAATGAGAGAACAACCTGCACAATCTGAACTTTTTGCCTATCACTATTTTTGAAAATTCGCCTTCAGTATTTCAAAATTACAGATAATGCAATTTATGCACCCGAGAGCGAAATTGTGTGATAGGAATTTCTTCGGTTTGTTAGGTAGCATTTTTTAAGGTCTTGTTTTAAAATTATCTTTCTGTTATATGTGAAATTTCGTTCAAAAACACGAATTTTAACTAATTCTGCCTATTACGTATATTGTTCATTACATATCATAATAAATTCTGTTTGATAAATTTGTATGTGATGCACATAAAGTAATTAAGAATACGATTCATTTTTTCCCTAAAAATCTTTTATTGGTAGATACCAATTAATGTCAGCCGCTTTTTTGTTGCCGAACATTTTAAAGTAGAAAGGTGATATAACCTGTATCTAACCCTACCACGCTCTCCGGAGAACCTTTTTGTATGCGGACGATTACGTTGTGAGCTGGAGCTTCGTTGAACTCCGATTTAGTGTGTCGGTGCAGTACATAGCAACATATTTTGAAGCCAATTCAAATGTCATCGTCTTGGATTTTTATACCATATTTGACGCTCAACGTAAAGCATCCATCAAGCATAAAATGTTTAACAAGTCCGTACATATTTATGTGGGCTTTTGGTGTGTGTTTGTGTATGTAATTGTGGTGGAAGGGGCACAAGCATGACCATTTCTTTAAACTTCGAACTGGTCTACTTTTTAACCTTTTTTTCATTCGAGCTTCACCGATAAGTACGAAAGCCTATTAGGGTCACAAAAAAAAAAAAAATATTTATCTCGTAATCGTAATTACGAGATCATTATCGCGTAATTACGAGAAAATTATCGCGTAATTACGAGATAATCATTTTTAACTCGTAATTACAAGATAATCATGTTTTAACTCGTAATTACGAGATAATTATCGCGTAATTACGAGAAAACTATCGCACGAGAAAACTATCGCGTAATTACGAGATAATCATCGCGTAATTACGAGAGAACTATCGCATAATTACGAGACAAGAAGTTTTTTATCTCGTAATTACGAGATAATTATTGCGTAATTACGATATAATTATCGCGTAATTACGAGAAAACTATCGCGTAATTACGAGAAAACTATCGCGTAATTACGAGATAAAATAAACTGCTTCGCTGAGCGCAGCTAGATACGCCCGCAGAGGTCCAACCCTGAACAGTTGGGGCAAAAATGGACACAATATTCAAGCTTGATACAGGTCTGAATTTGGATTGTAATCAAATATTTGACATATTATAGGTTTCTGAATATATGTAGTCACAAACTTGAAATTGGTTATATGAATTGAATTTATATTCAATTAAAGATTTCTTGCTGTTGTGCAATACACTGTGCTGTTGCGCAATACTTAGTAAATCTGTTGTCAGACTATAAACAAATAAAGTTCAATTAATTCTCAATGTCATATTAGAAATTTATGAAAATGTAAAGGGAGCTTACATCAATAGATATAAACTATTCAACAAAGTTTCATGAGAATTGCTGACAGCATTTTTGAGTTATTGTCCGAAAACTGGAAAATCACCCCTTTTTTAATGAATAAAACCCAATAACTCAGAAATGATAAATGAAAAATTTATAAAATTCTAAACAGAGCTTACATCAAAAGATATAAACAATTCACCAAAGTTTTATAAGAACTGCTGAAAGAATTTTTGTTTTTTTGTCCGAAAACTGGAAAATCACCCTTTTTTTATGAATAAAACCCTGTAACTCGGAAACGTAAAATCTAAAATATATAAAAATCGAAAGGGAGCTCATGTCAATAGATAGAAACAATTCACCACAATATCTTGCAAGTTGGTGAAAGCATTCTTGAGTTATTGTCCAAAACTAGAAAATCTCCCTTTTTTTAATGAATAAAATCCAATAACTCAGAAATGATAAATGAAAAATTTATAAAATTCTAAACAGAGCTTATATCAAAAGATATAAACAATTCACCAAAGTTTTATAAGAACTGCTGAAAGCATTTTTTATTTTTTGTCCGAAAACTGGAAAATCCCCCTTTTTTTATGAATAAAACCCCATAACTCGGAAACGTAAAATCTAAAATTTATAAAAAACGAAAGGGAGCTCACGTCAATAGACATAAACAATTCAATAAAGTTTTATGCAAATTAGTAAATGCGTTTTTGAGTTAATGTCCGACATGTTGACGACGGACGGACAGACGGACAGACGGACAACGGTATACCATAATACGTCCCGTAAACGGGCGTATAGAAATGATTATCTCGTAATTACGCGATAGTTTTCTCGTAATTACGAGATATTTATCTCGTAATTACGCGATAAATATTTTTTTTGTTAACCTAATAGGCATTCGTAGATAAGTCTTTTGTAGACGAAACGCTCGTCTGGTGTACACAATTTTAAGCCTGGTAACAAAGATGGGTTTATTTATAGATGTATAACCGGTTTCTCTGTTATGAATAAGGGAGCTACCGTTTGATTTTTATGTGGGGGGGGGGGGGGGGGCTATATATAGGATGAAATATTTTGTCCTGCATTTTTTTTTGGTTGTAATCTCTGTCCTGCCTTTTTATTTTTCACTCTATTCGGTCCTGCCTTTTTTTTATTGGTTTATCCTGACTTTTTTTACATAAATTGTCATCCTGCCTTTTTTTTGCCAAGTTGCTCATCCTGCTTTTTTTTTACTCAAAACTCCTGTCTTGCCTTTTTTTCAGATTTCATCCTAGCTCCCTTCCCCCTCCCCATAAAAATCAAATGGTAGCTCCCTAATATAAACACTGATGTCCAACACAGTCACTGAATTAAGATTGGAAAACACATCGCACCTTTAAAGTAATATGGAAGTTCTGCACATTGGACGGTAAACCATGACACACATGTAAATCATCCTTTCTTTACAGAATACATATAAGTATGATCATCCAAGTTTCCTTTCTTTACAGAAGAATACTTAAAAGTGTGATCATCCAAGTTTCCTTTCTTTACAGAATACTTATAAGTGTGATCATCCAAGTTCCTTTCTTTACAGAATACTTATAAGTATGATCATCCAAGTCTCCTTTCTTTACAGAATACTTATAAGTGTGATTATCCAAGCTTCCTTTCTTTACAGAATACTTATAAGTGTGATTATCCAAGCTTCCTTTCTTTACAGAATACTTATAAGTGTGATTATCCAAGCTTCCTTTCTTTACAGAATACTTATAAGTGTGATCATCCAAGTTTCCTTTCTTTACAGAATACTTATAAGTATGATCATCCAAGTTTCCTTTCTTTACAGAATACTTATAAGTGTGATCATCCAAGTTTCCTTTCTTTACAGAAGAATACTTATAAGTGTGATTATCCAAGCTTCCTTTCTTTACAGAATACTTATAAGTGTGATTATCCAAGCTTCCTTTCTTTACAGAATACTTATAAGTGTGATTATCCAAGCTTCTTTTCTTTACAGAATACTTATAAGTGTGATCATCCAAGCTTCCTTTCTTTACAGAATACTTATAAGTGTAATTATCCAAGTTTCCTTTCTTCACAGAATACTTATAAGTGTGATTATCCAAGTTTCCTTTCCTTACAGAATACTTATAAGTGTGATCATCCAAGCTTCTTTTCTTTACAGAATACTTTTAAGTGTGATCATTCAAGTTTCCTTTCTTTACTGAAAATATATAAGTGTGATCATCCAAGCTTCCTTTCTTTACAGAATACTTATAAGTGTGATCATCCAAGTTCCTTTTCTTTACAGAATACTTATAAGTGTGATTATCCAAGCTTCTTTTCTTTACAGAATACTTTTAAGTGTGATCATTCAAGTTTCCTTTCTTTACTGAATATATATAAATGTGATCATCCAAGCTTCCTTTCTTTACAGAATACTTATAAGTGTGATCATCCAAGTTCCTTTTCTTTACAGAATACTTATAAGTGTGATTATCCAAGTTTCCTTTCCTTACAGAATACTTATAAGTGTGATCATCCAAGTTCCTTTCTTTACTGAATATATATAAGTGTGATCATCCAAGCTTCCTTTCTTTACAGAATACTTATAAGTGTGATCATTCAAGTTTCCTTTCTTTACTGAATATATATAAGTGTGATCATCCAAGCTTCCTTTCTTTACAGAATACTTATAAGTGTGATCATCCAAGCTTCCTTTCTTTACAGAATACTTATAAGTGTGATTATCCAAGTTTCCTTTCCTTACAGAATACTTATAAGTGTGATTATCCAAGCTTCTTTTCTTTACTGAATACTTATAAGTGTGATCATCCAAGTTTACTTTCTTTACAGAATACGTACTAGTGTGATCATCCAAGTTTCCTTTCTTTACAGAATACTTATAAGTGTGATTATCCAAGTTTCCTTTCCTTACAGAATACTTATAAGTGTGATCATCCAAGCTTCTTTTCTTTACAGAATACTTATAAGTGTGATCATCCAAGTTCCTTTTCTTTACAGAATACTTATAAGTGTGATCATCCAAGTTTCCTTTCTTAACTGAATATATATAAGTGTGATTAACCACGTTTCCTTTCTTTACAGAATACTTATAAGTGTAATCATCCAAGTTTCCGTTCCTTACAGAATACTTATAAGTGTGATCACCAAAGTTTCCTTTCTTTACAGAATACTTATAAGTGTGATCATCCAAGTTTCCTTTCCTTACAGAATACTTATAAGTGTGATTATCCAAGCTTCTTTTCTTTACTGAATACTTATAAGTGTGATCATCCAAGTTTACTTTCTTTACAGAATACGTACTAGTGTGATCATCCAAGTTTCCTTTCTTTACAGAATACTTATAAGTGTGATTATCCAAGTTTCCTTTCCTTACAGAATACTTATAAGTGTGATCATCCAAGCTTCTTTTCTTTACAGAATACTTATAAGTGTGATCATCCAAGTTCCTTTTCTTTACAGAATACTTATAAGTGTGATCATCCAAGTTTCCTTTCTTAACTGAATATATATAAGTGTGATTATCCACGTTTCCTTTCTTTACAGAATACTTATAAGTGTAATCACCAAAGCTTCCTTTCCTTACAGAATACTTATAAGTGTGATCACCAAAGCTTCCTTTCTTTACAGAATACTTATAAGTGTGATCATCCAAGTTTCCTTTCTTTACAGAATACTTATAAGTGTGATTATCCAAGTTTCCTTTCCTTACAGAATACTTATAAGTGTGATCATCCAAGCTTCTTTTCTTTACAGAATACTTATAAGTGTGATCATCCAAGTTCCTTTTCTTTACAGAATACTTATAAGTGTGATCATCCAAGTTTCCTTTCTTAACTGAATATATATAAGTGTGATTATCGACGTTTCCTTTCTTTACAGAATACTTATAAGTGTAATCACCAAAGCTTCCTTTCCTTACAGAATACTTATAAGTGTGATCACCAAAGCTTCCTTTCTTTACAGAATACTTATAAGTGTGATCATCCAAGTTTCCTTTCCTTACAGAATACTTATAAGTGTGATTATCCAAGCTTCTTTTCTTTACTGAATACTTATGTGTGATCATCCAAGTTTACTTTCTTTACAGAATACGTACAAGTGTGATCATCCAAGTTTACTTTCTTTACAGAATACTTATAAGTGTGATTATCCAAGTTTCCTTTCCTTACAGAATACTTATAAGTGTGATCATCCAAGCTTCTTTTCTTTACAGAATACTTATAAGTGTGATCATCCAAGTTCCTTTTCTTTACAGAATACTTATAAGTGTGATCATCCAAGTTTCCTTTCTTAACTGAATATATATAAGTGTGATTATCCACGTTTCCTTTCTTTACAGAATACTTATTAGTGTAATCATCCAAGTTTCCGTTCCTTACAGAATACTTATAAGTGTGATCACCAAAGCTTCCTTTCTTTACAGAATACTTATAAGTGTGATCATCCAAGTTTCCTTTCCTTACAGAATACTTAAAAGTGTGATCATCCAAGTTTCCTTTCTTTACAGAATACGTATTAGTGTGATCATCCAAGTTTCCTTTCTTTACTGAATATATATAAGAGTGATCATCCAAGTTTCCTTTCTTTACAGAATACTTATAAGTGTGGTCATCCAAGTTTCCTTTCCTTACAGAATACTTAAAAGTGTGATCATCCAAGTTTCCTTTCTTTACAGAATACGTATTAGTGTGATCATCCAAGTTTCCTTTCTTTACTGAATATATATAAGAGTGATCATCCAAGTTTCCTTTCTTTACAGAATACTTATAAGTGTGATCATCCAAGTTTCCATTGCTGTCGTGAATCTAGAAGTATAAGCGACAAAGGAAGAACAACATGTGCTAATGAAATACCAATTTTCATACGAACATGGAGGATTATAGGATTCAAATACTTACTTTGGGGATTTGACAGTACAAGGTATACATTTTTCATAATGCAAAACAAAACTTCACTTTCCGCTATATAAATGATGTTCTCTCACTAAATAAGGCAAAATTTGGTGACTGCTGAACGCATCTATCCCACCAAACTTGAGATAAATGATACAGCAGATACAGTTAATTCTGTCTCGTATCTTGACTTCATTCTAGAAATTGACAATGATGGTCGGTTGAAAACAAAACTTTACGACAAAAGAGATCATTTCAGCTTCCCAATTGTGAAGTTTCCATTTCTATGTAGCAATATTCCAGCAGCGCCTGCATACGGAGTATATAATTCCCAGTTGATGCGATATTCCAGGGCTTGTATTTCCTATCATGATTTCATTGATAGAGGGTTGCTGCTAACAGGGAAGCTATTAAACCAAGAGTTCCAAGTGGTGAAGTTGAAATCATCCCTTCGTAAATTTTACGGACGCCATCACGAGTTGGTTGACCGTTATGGAATATCCGTTTCACAGATGACAACGGATATGTTCTAATTGTCGTAACTTTAATCCCGTCCCCTTTTCCTCGAATGTGACCTACCAAATTAGACTTATCACCGGGTTTGTACTAACATGAGCAACATGACGGGTGCCACATGTGGAGCAGGATCTGCTTGCCCTTCGGGGGCACCTGAGATCACCCCCAGTTTTTGGTGGGGTTCGTGTTGCTCTGTCTTTGGTTTTCTATGTTGTGTTTTGTGTACTGATGTTTATCTGTTTGTCTTTTTCATTTTTAGCCATGGTGTTGTCAGTTTATTTTCGACTTATGAGTTTGAACATCCCTTTGGTATCCTTCGCCTCTCTTTTGCCATATGATGTGCTGGCTTTTGAATTTTAAAGTGTGAAAATGCTAATGGTAATGTTACGTAGTAGATTTTCGATGAACTTACAATTACGACTAAAAGTCACCAAGGAGACAGCAACTCAAACGTTAAAAGAACACAAAAGAATCTGGAGGTCAATTTTCGGTGTCCACCAATACTTTATGTCAAGCTCGAAATCTAGACAATCGAGTCTAGATAAGTTTTGATTAAAATAAGAGCGGCAAACAAACATCCGCCATCAACAACAAATCCCTTGCTAGACAAAAAAAAAATAAGTGAAACATGGACTGACACGGATGATATTCCTATCTTCCGACACGCACATTGATATGTTGAGGGTTTCAATAAATATTTAAATAAGCATACCTCCTTCTTTTCAATTAAATCGGCGAAATAGCAAAATATTCTTAGAATAGCATACAATTGTACTGATTGATATTTTAGTTGGACACCTGGTTGTCGTTCGTTGTTGTATATCAGATTTGTTTTCATTTATTGCTTTGTACATGAACTAGGCCGTTAGTTTTCTCGTTTGAATTGTTTTAGGTAGCAACCATTTGATTTTTATGGGGGGAGGGGGGCTAGGATGAAATTTGAAAAAAGGCAGGACAGAAGCTTTGAGTAAAAAAAAAGGCAGGATGAGCAACTTGGCAAAAAAATAGGCAGGATGACAAAATATGTATAAAAAGTCAGGATAAACTAAAAAAAAAAAAAAAAAGCAGGACACAATTTTTCATCCTAGCCCCCCCACCATAAAAATCAAATGGTAGCTCCCTTACGTTTGTCATGTCGGGACCTTTTATAGCTTGCATGCGGTATGGATTTCGCTCACTGTTGAATGTCGTACGGTGATCTATAGTTGCTTATTGCTACGTCAGTTAGTCTCTGGTGGAGAGCTTTCGCATTGGCAATCATACCGCATTCTTATTTTATAACACTCAACCTCCACATTATCCGGGACAGTGGTGTAACAATACAACATAAGAACAAAATGATTAAATTAGTTGGAAAGATCTGGACTCATCAGATCGGTAAAAAGCACAGACACTAAGAAAAATACAAATGAAATACAGTACCGATCTGAGCATGCTTGTTTTAATTTGTAAAAATATTACCATAAAAGCTGGTTATGAAATGCCACTTACTCTATTGAATTTTTGCAAGGGGAATTATGTTTCCATAATAAAATCCATATGTCTTTTATTTGTTACCAAAGCATTTAGTAACAATTTATTAATCTGTATCAAAATTGCGCATATGCAGTGGCGCTCGAATCAATAACAGTTGAGAGGTTAAATTATATCGAAGTTGAAAAGCACCGAGTTTTGCCAAATCCGGCTAAGACCATCTATGCCCGAGGTGTCAAAAAAAATTATTTTTTTCGATCAATTTTTGACATTTTATTTTCTGTAAATTTACCGAAAATGTCCGTTTTGATTAGAGCGCTACTGATGAGTCTTGTGTACAAACGAAACGCGCGTTTAGCATGTTTAGTTTACGAAGTTATAAGCCTGGTACCGTTCATGATGTACACGAAAATATAGAGTAATTGCATTTAAATGGAATTGTTGTATCAAGTTCATTTTTGTTATATGTCAATATTCAACACTATAAAAGTTTGTTTGACTTTACTGTGTATTTCTATTATATTTTGCAGGTTTGCAGATATCTTTGTAGCTTTCCTAAGAAACTGTGGTACAAATAGTGGACCTTTCCAACTGAACTTAAACTAGTATAAATGTACGAATAAAATAAATTCAAATCAAATCACATGTAATTTTTACCTTTAATACCAAAGGATCTAAACTACACAAGTAGAAGTGCTAAATGTATACGGATAGAAAAATTGACATGTACCAAAATATCACCTGGAGTGACTCACACCTTATTATCAGTTTTCACTACGGCAGATATTCCCGATTGTCATTCACAACAGTTGTTTTTCGATAACTGTACAATAGATTTGTGTGTGTTGTTCCAGTTGTTATTGTAATACAATGGATTTTGCAATCGTGTACAACAGATGTTGATCTGTGTTACCTATTGCATCTGAAGTAACGATAGCCGTTTATAAGGTGTGGTGCATGATTGGACCGTGTTTTCTTAGTTAGGGAACCAGTGGCGGATCCAGATGGGGGCGTAGAGTGCGTACGCCCCCCTTTTTGCTTGCACTTTTTTTTTTTTTTTTATAAAATGATTAATCAGACTAAACTTCGTGAACTTTGCCATATCCCGCGTATTTAATTTTTATGGACAAATCATTACTTATAAAGACATGTTTCGCTCGTATTTACTGTAATATATTATTGATTATGTCAAAATCATGTGATTCGCTACGGTGGAGTTGACCAGTGCGTCGAAAAAACGTCACTCAGTCATTTTGAAATTCAAATTACAGTAACACATTGCTTAGGCTGAGGATGACAAGGATTGAGCAAGAACGTATTTATTGACTTCTATTTCACAATTCCACCGAACAGAAAGAAATACTCTATTACACTCTCGTGAAAAAAAGTTCCACAGCAATATTATTTACCTACGAAAACATGTTTAACCCAACACGCCCCAGCCTATTAATAACATAGCTGAATAATGATCCCCAGTCGATAAGCTCTAGATAGATTAAAGTCTAAGGTACGGACCATTTGATTTGAGGGGGCAGTCTGAGATGTTTGAGAGAAAAAATTCTGACCCTGATTTTTGCCTTAAACAAAAATTCTGGCCGTATCTGGATTGAAAACAATAATCTTGTCCACTTTTTTGCTATTAGAAACAAAAATTTCCAACAGAATTATTTAGCATTAAATGAACATGATGAATAAAAAAACGGGCGTAATTTTTTGGGGGCCGGGGGTTTGCATGTAAATCTCATATCTGACCGGAATGTCTGTTTCGTCGAACTGATTAAATTAATACTTTTTCAAGGCCCGATTGCAATCTGCCTGCTGGGTGTGGCCTTTATGTTTCCATTTGTCGACCGTCATTCATATAGTCGTTGTCATTTCAAACTCATTCGTAGCCTTTGGTTGATTTGGAACCCCTCACTTCCCTTGTTGGGTGAAACATTTCAACCAAACATTTGGATAGAAATTGCTTGTTTTTCTTTCTCAACTCGTGTCGGTCGTATTGTAAATTTCATTGAATAGCCCGGCGTATATCTTGTTTACAATAAGAAATCCGTGACGTTATGCTAACTAAACATACAACAAACGAGAATTTTCCATCCAATCATTTTATAATAGACAATTAATGGGGAGAATACGGCATCAAAAATGTCCAACCCTTACACTTTAACTATAAAATATACATGCCTTACGTCAGGAACTGTTAAAAAAGTGCATTTTACACTTATTTTATGTTTTTTAGCCAAAAAAAGGTCCAAAAAAATTTATCTTTACATACTTCGCCCCCCCCCCCCCCCCCTTTTCCAAAATCCTGGATCCGACCCTGGGAACCATATCATTTGAGTCACTGACGAATTTTCCCATATAAGGGAGCTCCCATTTGATTTTTATTGGGGGGCTAGGATGAAATTTGAAAAAAGGCAGGATAGGAGTTTTGAGTAAAAAAAAAGGCAGGATGAGCAACTTGGCAAAATAAAAAGGCAGGATTACAATTTATGTTAAAAAAGTCAGGATAAACTAATAAAAAAAAAAGGCAGGACCGAATAGAGTGAAAAATAATAAGGCAGGACAGAGATTACAACTAAAAAAAATGCAGGACAAAATTTTTCCTTCTTAACCACACACCCCCGCCCCCCCCCCCCCCCCCCCCCCCCCCCCCCATAAAAATCAAATGGTAGCTCTCAGATTTAATTCTGATTGGTCCGTGGAAATATATTGATTGATAGTGCTGTCGTCACCTAATTTTAATCTAAATCCAGATTTGCCGGTGGGGTATTTTTCTTCCGATGAGGTTTTTGGCATCCGGTTCGCCGGACATAATTAACTTGAGATTTTTTCCTAGGAAAATTAATCATATACTAACAAACAAACAAACAAACAAACAAACAAATACTTTATTTGCCAATCACGGCGCCCAAAATGAGCAGAATAATTTTTATTTTTTTATTTCAAACATTATATAAAAAAAGATTAAACAAAGAATAACGTTAGTTTTGATTTAATTGATATAACATCTAATAACAAAGTAAATAAAAAATAAGTCATTTGTAATAATAAAAATATATATGACCATTATATGTTCATGATGCTCCTCAAATTGAGTTTTTTTTTTCAGAGTTAAAGTAAAGAAACGAGTTTGAACAATGCGTTTACATTTTAATGTGAATAGTGAACGCACAAGAAAGTTAGCGATATAAACAGGCAATCCTGTCCATCACATAAACTTGACATCAAGGTTATCAAATTGATGCAAAACTTCACCGATGATTAAAAATCAAAATATATTTCATTTCAGAGTAAGCATAAAAATGTATGAACTTGCCAACAAAAGGCCATCATTTCTAAGCTAGTCTACTGTAAACCGAGTAAGCATGGTTATATTGATAAAAACAAAATAAACAGTCATTATACATGCTAAACCATTTCTTGAAGAAAAAAATTCTACTCCTACATGTCCACTCGTTTTGATCTCCATATTTGATAATATTTTACAAAGATTCAACCTAAGGATAACTTTTAATATCGTATGCCGTCAAGAGGGAGATGGTAAATCTTCCCAAAATAGCAACATGGCGTATCTTCTTGTTGTGGCAAGTGACTCACTGATCTAAATGACACTGGTAGTTTAAATTTGTCTTTCATGTCATCTACCTGACTTTTTCTGTGAATATAGTAACAACATCCTCCTGATAACAACCAACAAGGGAAGCAGCATAGAATCATCCATTTTGACAGGTAACATTTTACCGGTTTGGAACAGTTCAAAATGAAGACACTTAAATTCTCGATCGAATCCTCTCCGTAATTTCGGTCGTCATTTCGGCCATACCAACGCAAGATAACAGGAGTGTTTCTTTCACACACATCAGCATACCAAGACTCTAACCCTTGGCTGAAATTAAGTTGCAGACAAAATTTTCTGCCTTTTTCAAAATCGTCCCTTGCTTGTTGTAGTTTTGACACTAACTTGTCAAGAATTTCTTCACTTGATGTGTTCACTAAAACTGCAAATTCATCTTTCCACCATTCCGTGTTGAAATGTTTCTCACTGACCCTAATTACTCTTTCATGCTTGATTTTGGTTCGAAATAGCAAAAGTTTGTTTTGAATATCATATGAAGTATGAAGGAAATCATCAATACTGTGTACTTCAAACATTGCTAACGCGTCATTCACCAAACCACCAGTGATATCTAGAATTCGTTCGCTGCTTTGTCCGGGATAATACCCATTTTTAAATTCTTCATGTAACATTCCGGGCTGTTCTTGGAAATGGTTCCATAGCATTATAGTCATTGCTGGGACATGACTGTTTTCCCTTATGTCCGCGGCATCAGTCTTCCGTTCCAGTGTATCCTTATTTCATGTATTTACAGCAGACTACAAAAAAAAAAACCGAAAAAATCAAAAATAAACAAAACCGTGAATTTGTATTACACATTTGGGAAATTTAATTACATTAGTTCTTTTGTACATGGTTATCTTCGGGGTAGTCGCATCATTACCCTTTTGCAGTTAAAATAGTAATTGTTATGCTATTTTTATTTCTCAGTTCGTTTGTACTAGTATTATTTTTCTCTTCTGTGTAATTTTCGTCTGTCATTTGTTGGTTTACCTTTTTATGCTTATTTTTCTAACATTTTTATGCTTATTTTTTTTTTAGCCTTTTTCTTTTTATTTTTTTACATCTTTTTACGCTTATTTTTTTTTAACCCTTTTATGCTTAATTTATTTATGTTTATCGATCATGTTAATACGGTTGTATATTTAATAAATTTTATAAATTAGACTTTAAAAGTATTGATATCACGTAAACATGATATTAACATGCCTTACAAATTTTGTATAACTTTGATTTAGAATTTACAGAATATGGATCTGTAAAAGAGCATTTAGTTAAAATAAAAAAGGAATTTTAAAGTCGTTTTCGCATCAACAATTATTTCTAACTCGAAATTGATCTCGAACTCAATTCGAATTCTTACTCGAAATTTCATGGGGCATTGCTCTTAAAAGAAAGCAGTATTATATTTTTTTTCAAGTTTTGGACCTCCATTGATATTTATTGACATACGGACTCAATTAAAAAACTTTAATTCTAACTCAACTTGACTTTAACTCGAAATCGAAGTTTTACTCGAAGCTTAACTAGAAATGCAACTCGGACTTTAACCTGTATTTTGGCTCGAGCTCTAACTCAAACTCAAAACATAACACGAACTATAACTCGATTTTCAACTTTAACTCGATCTTCTAACTCGATGGTTAGCTAGTGACACATACCAAAGTTTCAAGATCCCCGCCGTTTAGGATTCAGGTAAGTTATGGTCTATAGTACATATTATATACATTTCTAATAAAAACTGTACATGATTTTTTAAATAAAAACTTTCTGTAAAATTAGTGTTATATTCATCAGACTGCCCGGCTTTCTCATTCCGATCAAAGAAAAATAATCACGAGTTTCGTTGGTATTTGTAATTATCGCTATTTTGTGCATTTTTCCTTTGATCTTCAAAGTTTTGGAAGTTTCTCAGCCACATCTCATCTCAGGGCTGTCGCCCTTCGATGAGATTGTAGCTGAGAAACACCCTCTCGTTTGAAA